CAGCCATCCCACTGTGGTACACGGGAAAAAATTAGGAAATTTACATTATATTTGGTATAGAGTAATTTGTTATTTAAGAGAGAGATTAATTAAAATAGGTTCTTAAAATAATATACATTGTTAAAATTGAACTAACTCAAAAGTAACATTAAAATGGAAATATAGCACAATTTATTGGTATGTTTTATGGTATCACAATAATATTTCATTCCAAAAAGTATGTAGGATGGTTTGGATTAAAATATTAAATTAAGATAAAAATTGATTGGAAAGATTATTTAGATAGAACAGAAAAATATATTTTCTGTTTATGCCAAAGGCATATGTTTACTTTCTTAATTAGGAATAGATGATCTTATTATTTAGTTGCTGCTAAAATTGGAGTACTAAAAATAAGTAAGTTATTCTAAAGGCATCATTTTTTGGTAGATTTGGTATATTTAAAATGTTTGTTCCTAATCAACCTAGACTGAAACTTAGCTCAGATGTTAATTTTGCAAACAATTTAATTTGGAGTGCGTAAGAGCAAACCATGTTCCTCTGAGTTAAGTGCTCTCTCAGTGTGAAAACCACCTTCTAGGAGGAATTTCTAAGGAATCCATTTCTCCAGGCATTTACTGTGTATCCCTAAATGAGGCTGAACCAGGAGAGTGGGCCATCGTAGACTGCATCTTCTTGACTGCCCATTGGACAATGGGGATATAAAAACGAGAAAGAGCACAATGACTCTTGCTGGAGTTGGGCCACAGTTTTGCTGGCAAGTTATACAATTCACAGTAGCCACCAGAGTGACTCAGGAAAAACCCAGAGCACCAGGGGAATCAACTGCTGAATTGAGCAAGAGGTCTTTCAAAATTTTTTTATTGTTCTATAATACTTATTACTCATGGGGTATACAACGGGAGAATCACTGGCTTCTGATTTAACCAGAACTCAGTTCAAATCCCATCTCTGGTATTTACTAGTACTTACTGGTCGAGTGACATTGTAAGAAGTTCACTCAACTTTCCTAAGAATCTGTGAAATGGAGGTGGTCACGCCAATTACAAAGTCAAGATTGGCCTCACTGACACACAAGTTCATCCTCAGAGAACCAAAAAATGTAAAATCACGGTGACTTAGGCAAGACAGAAAGTTATCTGTTTCTCAAGTGCAAATAATTTGAGAAGTTCAAGACTGGTATGGGGGCTCTATGATATCAAACACCCAGGCTCCTTCTATCATTCTTATTGGTTATTCTCAGACTTGCCTCCATCCTCAAGGGTAACTCATGGCCCGAGATAGCTACAGGAGCCCCTGCCATTGGTCTGCATTCTAAGCAGCAGAGGAGAGAAAGTGGCAAGAGCAAATGAGTGCATTTTCTAGCCAAATCAGTTCCCTATAAAGAGGCATCTCAAAAGTCCTTCACAATAATACCACTTGTCTTTAATGGGCTACAAATAAGTTATTTAGTTGCCATATTTAGCAACATACGTGTTGCCATATTTAGCAACAAGGGAGCTTGAGGGAAATGTAGATATTTAATTCCAGGCAACAAGGTATTTCGGTGAGGAATTAGGTTTGGGTTGGTAGAGAAGAGGAGAAACTACATTAAGAGGCAAAGAGCAATCTACCTGCCTACATTAGAGAGTATAGGATGAAAATTAGAATTCCTTTATATAAGGAGCCCCTGAAAAGGTGCTTGGTACATACCACATGCTCGGTAAATTATATGTTTATTTTCTTTCATATAATAAAGTAAAACTGCGGAGAGTAGGACTGTATTCTTAATTTCTTTTATAACTCCCGAAATGCACAGACCAGGCTTTCTCAACCTTGGCACTACTGACACTTGGAACCAGGCAATTCTCATTGCGGGGCCTGTCCTGTGCATTGTAGGTTGTTTATCAGCATCCCTCACCTCCACCCACTAGATGCCAGTAGCTTCCCACCACCAGCTATGACAACCAAAACATGTCTCCTGGCATCACCAAATGTCCCCTCGGGAGCAAAATCACCCCAGGTTAAGAACCACGAGCCTAAACTTACGTGGGACAATAAGTCACTGCTCTCTATTATCTAGGAGTTCAATTGTGCTGAAGACCCCTGAGTTCATAGTGATGATCTCATTATGCAGGAATCAATGTAAGAAAAAGACGCAAATTTCCCCAATGAATAATAAATGATCATGCTAAGTTACACAGATGTAAAATGGATTATATATTACTTTTTTCCTGAAGGCAATGTAGTGACGACGTACCTTGAGGAGGAAAGAAATGTAACGTATGGGTTTCATGCACTCATTCATTCGTCACAAATATTTGAGCAACTACTCTGTGCCAAACACCATTCTAAGCTCTGAGGACATCACAGTGAAGAAAGAGAACAGAGTCGACGCCCCCAGGGAGCTTACTTTCTGGTGAAGGCGACAGATTTTCAGCAAATAAAGGATTAACTATATAATGTCGTGGCGGCATGTGGCATGGACAATGGAGTGGGTAAATGGGTGGGAGGGTGATCTGGGAAGGCTGACACTGAGAAAGTGGCGTTTGTGCTGAAGGGGCATCTGCAGAAGGGGCCTCTGAGGGAAGGAAAAGCAGCCTTGAAGGTGTAGAGCAGAAGGGGAAAGGCAGAGGGAGAGCACAGGCAGACAAGACGGCCAGTGTTGCAGACTGAGCGAGATGGGAAAACATCAAAAGCTGTTCAGGTAGACAAAAGCATGATTCAGCTTATATATTTAAAGGGTCTTTCCAGCAGCCACATGGAACAAGTGTTGAAGCTCAGATGCTCACAGATCAGTCTGGGCAAGAGATGATGGCAGACTGGACAAAGTGGGGCAGTTAGATGAAAAGGAGAGATCATATTCCAGAGGGATTCTGAAGGTGACAGCCTTTGCAGATGGTAACCAAAAATGACTAGCAAGTGTGTGGTTTCTATAAAGTATTATGTAAACCTTATCTTCTAACACACATTCAGAAATTGTATCATCAACATTACTTCTGGGTTTGGTGGTTTTTTTTACTCATCTGTCCCAATATTTCTTCAAAATGGCTTTTCAAGTTGCTGATTTCTATGCAACACAAGGTAGGGGACAGTGTTCCAAACTTTAGTCTGCCTCTATCGACTGGCAGAGTGATTCCAGGACCGTTATCAAATATGTATGTGCTTGAATTTCCCCATCTGTAAAATGGAGTTACCACGGCTCACCATTCACCTCACTAAGCTAAAGATTAAGAGGAAAAGTCTACACGGTGCTTCCAGAATCTCAAAAGAAATGCCACTGTAATTATCTGCAAATGTATCCAGTGGTGTTAGCACTCAAAGGGAATAAACTTCGATTAACATATAAGATTCATTCCCAAGGATTCAGACTCAAGACAAGCCTTAAATTCACGTCAGTCGTATAATATATTCCAAAGTTTCTGCTGGAGTTAGCTGTGACTTATTGATTCATTCTTGTTTTCAGGTAAAAGGAATTGATTTCTTTTCTTGTGAAATTCAGACTCTCATGTCAGCCTTGATCTTTCAATTACAATATATGGTTTAACAATCTGTAGTCCCTAGAGCTGCAATTTTCTTTAATTAGGATATTTTTAAAGTAGTTCAAATGAAACTCTTTCATTAAAATTTCAAGTGTGTAAAAAAGAATTAATTTCTTGATGGGATAAGGAGAAAGGGGGTGCTTAAATAGGAAATAATACTGTTATAAAAATTATCCTTCACGTAATACTCAATTTACACAAAAGTGGACAAAAACACTACTTATGAAATTCAGTCAGCCTCATGACTACGGAGAGAGAGAGAGAGAGAGAGAGAGAGAGAGCCTTTCCTACAATGACGACATAAGCAAATTACCCAAAACTCCAGTTGAAGAACAATTAATATAATAGATACCAGAAAATGGCTTATCAAAGCAAATGTTTATGACATTATACAAAAAGAGTAAAAAGATCATAAACTAGACATTTCATTTCTGCCCATGATCTAAGAGTCAGAGCTAAGTAAAGCTTATTTTCACCAAATTCTTTCACATTCACATAACAATTCTATCTTTAATAACATTCGTATATATTAAATGACACAATGCACGCGTGAATGTAGGACTGTATCATTATAATAAAGTTTTCAGTTTAGGCATATTATTCTATAATCATTTTCTTTCATTTTGAAAGACCTTTCAAAATAATAGCGTTCTTCATATAAATATGCTATTTCAGTATTATTGTATATTGTTCAGATGAAATTTGGTTATGAAATAAAGGAATGCTTCAATTTTAGGTCTAATAGTACCGTCCATGAAATAAATCTCATCAAACACTATTACAATCTCAAAAGTGCTCCAATATTTTTAGCAAGTTTAAACTTTATTCATTTATATAATCTGAATATAAAACCTACTTCCATTTCCAGACTGCAGCTAAAGTACCATCAAATATATCTATTTTAAAGATTCTGATGTTTGGGGACTGAGGTAAGAAATTTATGCTATTAAGCATATGAATGAGTATAATGACAACTGCAGAGTATGTGTGTGCAACAAGAAATACTCAAGAATGGAAAAGAGACTGTTTATTTAAATAATCAAATTATTCAAACCAGCAATTCCTACAGACAAACAAGACTACATTCAAAATAACTTAGATATAAGCAGAACACATCAAATCTTCTGGTCTAACTGGAGGATGTTTTCTCCATAAAAATTTTTTTTTATTAAAAAAACTACAGAATAAAGAGAGAAACAATGTAGTATATAGAAATAATGATACATGTATCTTGATTGCAGTGGTGGCTACCCTAACTGAATCTACACAAGTGATAAAACCTCACAGAACTAGATACATACATTGTACCAATGTCAGCTTTCTGCTTTTGATCTACAAACACATCAAGTGTAACCACTGGTGGGAACTGGGTGAAGAGCACCCGTGATTTCTCTGTACTATCTTTGCCACTTCCTGTGACTCTATAATTATTCCCAAATTAAGTTGCTAAAAATATTGATACAATAGTAGGGAACGTACCTTAGAACATTGCTTGTGATTCTGGCACCAAACCAGTGAACCATTGTTCTGCAAAAAGAAAAAAATATTGATTCATTAAATAATTTTCTAATTGAAAACTGCATACACATGTGCATGTGAATACAATTTTTAAATATTTGCATTAACAAAACACCAATTTCGCCATCCTGATATTTCTCTCTTCCTAAAATAGAAAATATGTTTCTAATGTAAATCCTATTTTGTCCTTGACTTCATGATATAAAGACATATAAAATAATAAAGATTTCAAGCCATCTAAAAGGAAGTGCGTAAGCCATCTCTCATGATGTACAGGCCAGCAGGAAAATGAACACCAGACGTTTCTTCTGTCATAAGCGGTTTTGGTAAATTTACAAGTTGGGCATCCTGCAGGCTTTTTGATCTCAACCAATTCACAGTAATGAGAGTTTGAGCTAGGAAATCAGATCCCATGTGAAAAGCCTTCTCTTTCCCTTTTACTGGATGTGTGACTATGGACAAAGGACTGACTATCCCTGTGCCTCAGTTTATCCATCTGTAAAGCATAATGACAAAATCTCATGCATGAGGTCATTGGGATGCCAAATGAAATAATATATAAACCACTTAGCATGGCTTGATAGTCACTCAACATGTAACAAATATTAGGACTATGATTTATTATCCCTAGCATTCAAAGTTCTGCTTGAAACTTCTCATTCCACATGACTGAAAATTTGGTCATGGTTTTACCTTTGGTTGTGATATTTTACATCAGATTGTGCTAGGCTGGGGTAGTTGGTCGTGGCAGTAGAAACCGTCACCCAATAATTAAGATGCCATGGCCTCCAGTTCTTTGAAGTTCAAGGACGGGTATATGACAAAGTAGCCCATTTCCTATGTTTGAACTTCTGAACTACTAATTTTAAGAACATCAGTATGGATAGCATAGTATTACGTTTGCAGTTAAAAGAAAAGAAAGTTGAACCAATAACATATCTTTTAAAAAATATTTTATAACAAGTTTATTGATATATAATTTGCATACGTAAAAGTCACTCATTTAAAGTGTACAATGCATTGGTTTTTAGCATATTCACAAGGCCGTAACCATCACCATTAATTTTTGAACATTTTCATCATCCCAGAAAGAAAACTGTACCCACTAGCAGTCACTCCCCATTCTCTCCTCTCCCCAGTCCCTGGTAACCACTAATCTAATTTCTTTCTCTATAGCTTTACCTGTTCTGGACATTGCATATAAATGGAATCATACAGTATGTGGTCTTCTGTGTAGAGCTTCTTTCATTCCATGTCTTACAATATGCTAAATGGTATAAGATTTTTGCTTCATCTACATTGTCACAAAAATCAATATTTCATTCTTTTTTACTGTCAAATTCCATTGTATGGATATACATTATGATCTTCTACTCCCAATAATGTATCTTAATATATCCCATTCCCAATAATATATCTTAATAATATAGGATTCCCAAAACCACTGAATAATACCCAACTGTATAGGATTAGAAATTTTCCTCTCCTATGTGAAGATCATTAGGCTAAAAGATCTCAGTCCCACGACAAAGCTTTAGCTATTAAATCTATCACATGGTCCTAACCCTCCTTTGCAGCCTTAACTCCCCCAAATTGCTACACATACCTACAATTTTAGCTATTCTGTTATCAACCTACTCATTCCCCTTCCAAGCCCCATGTTTCCTCAATAGGCCCACATCTCTCCCTACAGATCAACGTTCATTGGCCCTATAAGTGAGGACCGAAGCTGGGGAAGTATATGAACAGGCTGGGATGAAGTTAAGTATGATTTTTGGCAGGGTTGACATCAGAGAAATGATTAGATTGGGCGTAGGTCAAAGCTGGACAAATAGTGGATTTGGTTTAATTACTGGAAACAAGGTGTTAGGAGAAAGGGTGCAAAAAGAGGGCATTGTGTGCAGATTGGTATTTCATAGAAGGAGCCCTGGGCTTGGTGACAAACTGAAAGTTCACAGGGGGGTCAGGCAGACTGAGGTGCGGTCATAAATAGGGTGACAACTGCCAAAAAAAGCAGGGGCAAGACTTTGAGAAGCACATTATGGAAAAGCTGAGAGCAGGGTCCAGGGCAGCTTCGGAGAACTCCTAAGTGAAGCCGCCCACACCATCTCGCCCAGGAAGGGTCTTTCCTGCCTGCCCTGTGCAGGGTTACCTTCTGCAGGGACCCCCAAGGACCACATCTGTCAGAGCACAATCTGGCCTCAACTCGAGTGCTCCATGCTCATCGCCCAGTGATGGAAAGCCATGAAGAACCTTTTAAAGAGACTCAGGGCTAAAGCGAATGGACTCCAATCTTGGAGACCGGGTCAAGGCCCGTCCCTGAAGATATTTTTCACCAGGCTGAGAACCTTCAGCCTCCTTGACTCATGTGAGAGGGTCCTGCTCTTTGCAGTGGGAACCTTGACATGGGCCCAGCTGCCACCTCCTTCCTTTCCAGGTCTTTCTTTTCCTGGACAGATGGGCAGGACCTCTGGAGGAGATAAGGGGACCCTTAACTGCTGCTGCGTGTGCCGTATTGCTCTTGAGAGCTGTATCACACCTTTTCTTGCTATAGAATATATTTTCTTTTATCTAAGTCTTAGCTCCCCACCTAGAGTGTGGTCCAGGAGACAGGGCTTCCTGTTTCCTCTTTGCTTGAATGTTTCCCCCTAGGAACTGGACCAGCTCCCAGTTCTCACAGAGATGGCATCCATCAAAGGCCATGCAAGGGTGACTGGGGCTGCAAAAGTAGACATGGCACTGCTACCTGCTCCAGATTAGTGGCTGACAAAAATATTACTAATGGGGTAATGTGCCTTTGACATGATTATCATCAATAAATATTCTTATTATTATTCTCTTGACCACGTCTGTGTGGCAGGCCGTTGCTTTGGTGTTTGGTATATTCACACCAGAGAGTCATCCCAGATAATGACGCAAGCTACATTTCCCCATTTTTACACTTAAGAAACTGGGAGTCAGAGCCAGCTCTGAGGGCCTAGTGGTTAAAGTTCAGCGTGCTCCACTTCAGGGGCCCAGGTTTGGTTCCCAGGTGTGGAACCACACCACTTGTCTGTCAGTAGCCATGCTGTGGTGGTGGCTCATATAAAAGAACTAGAAGGAGTTACAACTAGAATATACAACTATGTGCTGGGGCTTCTGGAAGGGGGAAAAAAAAGGGGGGGGAAGATTGGCAACAAATGTTAGCTCAGGGTGAATCTTTCCCAGCAAAAGGAAAAAAAGAAACAGGAGTCAAAGAAGCCAATTAAATATCCACAGTCAAGAAGCCAGTGGTTAACTTAATCGTGAACCCCACAGTGAGTAACGCTGTGGTTAAACCCAGGGTGACATTGGTGGTGGGTTCTGAAGGCATCTCCCGATTTATAATCTTGGAAGGAGAGGTAAGAATTGGTCAGGACAGTCCTGACTATCATTAAATTCAGAAAGCAGCAGATCAGCCTGATGGGATAGAGCAGAGAACAGGAGAGGAGATTGGGTAAAGCGGTAGAAAGCAGGTTACAGTGGTTTTGGACTTTTTGCTGGAAATAAAATTTTTTGTTTAGTAAATGTCAGAGGGTTAAAGAAAATAGAGAGTTAGAGCTGCAAGAAGTTCTGTGCATGGCACACCTGGTTAGCTTCCTTGTGTTCCCTCTGACTTGAGGTAAAATGGCCAAACCTCAACAACAAAAACACAAAGAATCCAGCAATGATCGCCTTCAGCTGCTCAGCAAATGCAAACTCTTCTGCTCTGCTCATGATGAAACCCAAGCGTCCTCTAAGTGGCTCATACCCCTATCAAAGGGAGAAGGAAACCAAGAGGCACAGAACATATCAGCTGTTCACATTTAACTGAGAATTAACATCAATGTGTTTCCTCAACCAAAGCATTTTCATTTTAAGCAAAATTTTCCACTAATCATAAAACAAAAAGCTCTATCATTAGAAATATTTGGACAATAGCAAACAAGCCTGAAAATTATTATGATGTTAATGATTTGTTTTTTTATTACTGAAGACAGTACGTCTTCAGGATGCTTGGGAAGATTAAAAAGATAATCCATGTAAAGTATTTAGCAAAATGTTTGGCATAGAGTTAGATGGCAGAAAAAAAAGTCCATTGTTATTATTGATGCTATTTTGTTGTTTGCCCTTATTATTGTTTTCAGGAGTGGGGGAGTAATCCTGGACTTAGAATCTCTCAGCTCTTCTATATACATAACGCTCACCCTACATCCTACATTAACCAGTGCCATCTTATTAGGGAGGCTCAGAAGGGTAAGCACACCATGTTTTCTTCCATGGGTGGTAAAATCTTCCAACATTTGCCAATATGACAAGTGGGCAATGGTATTATTTTTGCTTTAATTTCCTTGGACTGGCCCTTCGTTTTCCTTTATGGCGAACTGTCTGAGCATTTTACCATTTCTATTCTGAACTGTTTACTTTTTTCTTATCAATTGTAGCAGCTATTAGTACCAATTAATATTTAATAGTCATTTATCTGTAACAAGTATTATAAAAATTTTCCAGGGCATCATTTGTCTTCTGAATTTATTCATGGAGTCTTCTCCATGCAGATATTTTCTACACACTTAACACACATATCTATGTTTCCCTCAAAATGTGTCTCTATTTCCTTTTTGAGTTTTAGATTTCCTGTTTTTCTTAAAACAATTCCCCCCACGTCAAGGTTCTGCAGCTGTTCTGTGCTTCCGCCTTTATCAATCAGCGTTTGCCATGCTATTTATCTCTACAAAGAACTTCTAGGAATCCTGTCTAATGACACCAAGGATGTCGGTAAACCCCCGATTAACTCCGGCCACTGTGTTTAGGCCAGGTGTGCGCGTACATTGCACCATCCACCTCTGTTGCTCACCTGGAATCTCTTTGAGCAGGAGAGCAATGGAAAAATAAAAGAATCCAGTATATTTCAACATCCCACCCCAGGGGGAAGTTCTTAGTCAGATTACAATAGCCTTCACCAGATAAGCCACTTAACAGCAAAAATAAAATACAGTACTTGCAATAAA